AAATATAATAATTAAAATGAGAACAATAAAACAAAGGAAGAAATTAATAAACGAGATAAATAAAGGAAGGGAATTAAAACAAATAAAATTTAGAATACGAAATAAGAAAAGAAAAAGAAATAGACATTATTCAACGAATGAAATAAAGGAAGACAGAATAAAAAGAAATAAACAAGGAAAGAAAAAAAGGAAGAAAATTATAAAATGAAAATAAATATATGGAATAAAAAAGAGAAGCGATGAAAAATGAAGATCACAATTATAAGAAGAAAATGGAAAGAAAGAAAGAAAGAAAGGAAGGAAGAAAGATAGAAAATTATAAAAATGAAGGTAAATGTACGATATAAAAAAAACAAAAGAATGAATGAAAGAGACAAAGGACAATTATAAAAAGAAAATAGCAAGAAAAAGAAAGAAAGAACTAATAAAATCAAAGAAACAAAAATTATAAAATGGTGATGAATGTGCTAAATACAAATAAAAGAATCGGTGAAAGTAAAAGATGACAGAAAGAAAACTGACAAAAAGAAAAAAGAAAGAAAGAAAAAAGAAAGAAAGATAAGGAAAGAAAAAGAAAGAAAATTATAAAATAGGGATGAATGTATAAAGTAAAAATAAAATTGGATGAAAGATAAAGATGACAATTATAGAAACAAAACGAAAAGAAAGAAAGAAAAATAAAGAAAGGAAGAAAGAAAACCGTAAAAAGAATATGAAAAAAAAAAGAAACATAAAGACATCATGAGGAAAAGAAAGATATAAAATGGAAAGAGAGAATAAGAATCAAGAAGAAACGAAGAAAGAATAACAAATCAATCGAATTAAAATATAAACAAACATGAAAAATAATGAAACATAAATTTCCAAAGTTGAAAAAAGAAAAGCAAAAAAAGAAAAACAAAAAAAAATTCCCTGAAAGAAAATAAAGCAAAAAAAAAATAATAATAATAATAATAATAATAATGAAGAATAAAATTGAAAAAAAAATAAAGGCTAAATAAGAAAATATAGAAAAACAAGTTGAAAAGTAAAATTTGAAAATCATTTAATTGAAAGACGGAGGGAATGAAAATCTGTGCAAAAATAGGTATACAGTATGTAAACTTTCATTTGTCAATCTAATCTCAGCAACGATCAAGAATGATTTGAAGCAATAGAAACGTGATTCTACATAAGGATGCTGAGGATACCATGAACAGTAATTGTGAACAACGAAGAAGTTTGAGAGAAAATGGGAAAAAAACTTATAATTAACATCAGTAAGAGAAATTTTGAAAATTTTTGGGCACATAACAAGGAAAGAGGGCTTGGAAAATTTGATACTCACAAGACAGATTGAAGGCAACATTGGGAGAGGAAAACAACGCATAAAATACATAGTGAGTAAGAGGAACAATATTTTGGAGAAATAAGAAAAAGACAAAATTTGATAAGATCTACGAAAGACAGGAATTTGTGGAGAGCCATGGTCGCTTTCACCCTAAGGCGAAACGGTGCATAAAAACGAAGGCCGTCTTAAGAACCGCAGATATGCTGATGGCAAAGTTTTGGTCTTCTTCTTTTATGTGCTTTGTCCCCTCGGAACGTAGGCAATCATGGCTCTCCACACCATCCTGTCCGTTGTAGCTTTTAGTAAGTTTTTTTTTTCTTTTTTTTGTTATTTCTCCCAATGCCTGTCCTACCATCCATTTACTCAAGCCCATCAAGTAACGTAATGCCTTCCATCAATCTGTCCTGTGAGTATATGATTTTCCAAGTACCCCTTCCTCATTGTTTGCCCAGAAATAGGAAGAAGAACAAGAACAAGAAAAAGAAGAGGTAAGTAACATTAGAAGAAGAAGAAGAAGAAGAAGAAGAGAAAGAAGAAACATACAAAGGAGAAACATAACAAGGAGAAGCGGAAGAAGAAGAAGAAGAAGAAGAAGAAGAAGAAGCAAAATAGAAGAAGCAGAAGCAGCAACAGCGGCAGCGGCAGCAGAAGAAGAAGAAGAAGAAGAAGATGATGAGAAAGAAGAAGCATACGAAGGAGAAACATAAGAAGAAGAAGAAGAAGAAGAAGAAGAAGCAACAGAAACAGATAAAGAAAAAAGCAGTGGCAGCAACAGCGGAAAAAGATGAGGAAGAAGAAGAAGAAAAATAGCATCCGAAGAAGAAAAAGACGAAGAAGTGGTGACAGATGCGTTTCTTTCAGGTCAGAGGTGATGTGGTAAAGATCAAGAAGGAAAAAAAAATGTGAAAGAGTGATGTTTGCAAGTGAAATGGGGAGATCACTGAACAGCAAAATATTGATATAAAAAGGATTACAAAGTGCAGGGTGGGTGCAAGGAGACAGACAGAAGGAAAGAGAAAGAAAAGTTATATGAAAAAGTGGTAGGAGGTGAAGCCTGATGAAAGAAGAAAAAAAAAATGAGACCGGAAATGAAATCCGTCTGTGTGTACAGAACCCTGACGTGAGTGTCGAATGTAAACGAGATTTGTTCAAGTGGAACAAGCCCGACATTTCCGCTCAATGTCCTAATCACGGAAATTCACGCGTCAGTGTTATGAATACACGCACGAGCGCGCGCACACACACACATCTCTCTCTCTCCCCTCTCTCTCTCTCTCTCTCTCTCTCTCTCTCTCTCTATATATATATATATATATATATATATATATATATATATATATATATATAGGGGGATTTAGTCATTAGTCTTAATATATATTTTGATACATGGTGATCTATCAAAACAATTCCCAGAAAAAGAAACATTCCGTCTAATAAGGTTTTTCGACCGTAACTTTCAAATGAAACTTTTCTAACAATATCACAAAACTGTACTGTTTAGAAAATTTAAGGTCTTTAGTTCAGGCACTTTTCTCTTCTTGCATGTCCAGTAGCTTGAAACTTGTGTTAGAACACCTTGTATATCGTGTATATATATATATATATATATATATATATATATATATATATATATATATATAGAAGAGAGAGAGAGAGAGAGAGAGAGAGAGAGGTTTCCATGAGTTCGTGTGCACTTTAAAAAATTATAACTTTATTTGTGTTTGCGATAGAAATAATCCGTAAATGATTTTATGAAGTTTAATGCACCTAGTATAGTTATTGAATAAATTTTTACCATAAAATTTGAAACAGTTTTTAGATAAGTAAAAAATTATTTTCTTTTTCTCAGCGTATTACCCGTTGTATTGCTAGTGATGAGGACATGTGGAAACTTAAATTAAATTGCAATAAAACCTTAAAATTATAGATTTACTTCTTATTTCTATCGCAAATACAAATAAACTTAAGGACACCCTGATAACCAAAAAAATAACCAAACAAGTTCTGTCCGTTTTTTGATTAGTCATTGAATGAAGTTGAAATATGTACCTGCATGGAGTATTGCTGCCATATATGGTCTGGTGCCCCTTCTGTTTGCCTCGGGGTTCTTGATAGGCTCCAGAGGCGGGTATGCAATGTGGTTGGCCCTGCCCTGGCGTCTCGTCTACAGTCACTTTCTCACAGACGCGTCGTCGCCTCTCTCTGTCTGTTCTACAAATACTTTCATGGAAATTGCCCCGGAGCTGCATTCGCTGGTTCCAGCGCCTTACGAGCTGGCATCCCGCTCTCAACCCTTCACTGTCAAAACTCCCTAAATGTAGCCGTCTCTTCTCTCTAATAAAGACAGTCCCGCACCTCTCGCCTGTGGAACTCCCTTCCCTTTTCCTGTTTCCCTGTGAGCTATAATCTCCAGTTATTCAAGTGTAATTTAAATCGACATCTCCAGTTGCCTTGATCTATCCACTATCCTTCTCCCCATCCTTTCCTCTATCACTTGATCTATCCACTACCCTCATCCTTTCTTCTATCACTCCTATCTGATCTTGCTCTAAATTTTCTGTAACCCCTTGCGTCCTAGTGGCTTCTCGCCTTGCTTGGGGTGACATGTTAAAAAAAAAATATACGAAATGCGTGTAGGAATTGTTTGCAAATTCGGACAGCCGGAAGGAGGAACATCAGACGTTATAAAAAATACGCGCACTGTGTCCGGCCATTATTTAAAAGCCGGACAGCTGTGAGAAGGATGGACGTGTCTAGAGATCTCGTTCGGGGCTGTTTGTTTTACGAATTCAAAGTGGGCTTATCAGCAGCTGCATCAAGTCGCCCCATATGTCAAGCGTTTGGGGATAGTGCTGTGGATGAACATAGTGCAAGGCGTTGGTTTCGAAAATTCACGTAGGGAGATTTGTCTCTCCATGATGACCCTCGCAGTGGACGACCACAGGTCTTGAATGACGGAGTCCTGAAGGCGGCCATTGAAGAGGACAGTAATCTAACGTGTGGTGAACTTGCAAGACAGTTCAACGTTTCCGATGAAACAGTTAGACTTCACCTGCACCGCCTAGGTAAGACGTACAAAATGAGCAAGTGGGTTCCGCAGTCGCTGTTAGAGGTTCACAAGAAACAACGAGTGGCAGCCTGCGTATCGCTGCTTTCTCGCCACTGTACCACATCCTTATTCAATCGTGCTTACCAGTGATGGAAAAGTGGGTTCTGTACGAAACTCCCAAGCATTCCAGACATTGGTTGTCTCCTCAGGATACTTTCCTTCACACCGCAAGACCGCCTATGCACCCACACAAGATTATGCTTTGTGTCTGGTGGACAGGTCGTCAAGTGGTTCATTATGAACAGCTACCAACGGGCCAAACTGTCACTGGAGACCTATACTCGAAGCAACTGAAACGTGTGCAACAGGCATTGCGCCAGAAGGAGCCAGCACTGGTGAATCGCAAAGGTGTGCTTTTCCTCCATGACAACGCCAGGCCGCATGTCGCGCGAGTGGTCAGGGATAACATACAGCAACTTGGGTGGGACTTTATGCCATCCACTTTATTTACCTGTCCTTGCGCCATCCGATTACCACCTCTTCCACTCCCTGGATAATCATCTTCGTGGGAAATCCTTCACCAATGAAATAGACGTGCGCAAAGCACTCACGGATTTCTTTGCGTCAAAAGACCCCCGAGTTCTACCGCAAGGGCATTGAACAGCTGGAGACACGTTGGCAGAAGGTGCTGGATGCTGATGGCGATTACTTCGAAGACTAAATATAAGTTAAACATACTGTGGAGCGTTTTTCTTTTTTCCTTTAAAAACGGACAGAACTTTTTTCATTTACCTTGTATATATATATATATATATATATATATATATATATATATATATATATATATATATATATATCAAACAAATAATAAAAACAACATTTCTACTCGTCGAAGGACTTGGCGGAAATTTCACTTGACAATATGAATACAATAGCATTTTTTTAAATTCTTCTAGTAGCCAAGGACATTTCGTTTGTTGTTAATAGTCATTTCGTTTTCAATAAATTCAACTCGCTTTTGCCTTGACAAATCCACATTGGATGAAATGCGTCGGCTAATAATACAGTTTTCCTATTGTCTTTTACCATTATACATATTGTTTTTTCTGCATTTAACTCTAAGTATTTTTTCATGTATCTATCCATACAGACGCCAATTTAGTCCCGTTTCGAACCTAGCTACAGGCAACCGGACATCTAGCCACATTGATGAGCTGTGATACAGCAGAAACATGCTGTCTGTGGATGATAATATATATATATATATATATATATATATATATATATATATATATATATATATATAAATAAAATATAAATATATATATATATATATATATATATATATATATATATATATATATATATTATACATATTGAAGGATACCTGTGTACTAGGGCGGCTCAGGCACATTTGTGTTTGTTCAACATCCACAGAGCCTACCTGTGGTTTATGCTGAAACAATGCTGAGCAGACCTTAGTTACAATTTCTGGGAAAGAGCGTGTTATCTAGCGTGATCAACAATCTGAACAACGCCGGCACACTCAAACCCTCGGTCACGATGACTTGTGACTTCGTGTTTGCATAGTTACCGACGGCCCCTAAGGGTAGCGTCTACCCATTTTTATTCACAAGGCTTGGAGAAACCCGGGGTATGGTTTTCAGGTACTTTCCAAAGTTGGCGCACATTGGGATAGTACCCTCCAGGACGATAACATCAGAAAGTCTCGTTCCTGACAAATCGTATATGGTTAGATTCGAACTCGTGGTGTCTCACGGTCAGAAATATATATATATATATGTGTGTGTGTGTGTGTGTGTGTGTGTGTGTGCGCACTCGCGCGTGTGTGTGTGTGTGTGTGTGTTTTTTTTCACCAAGAACCGTTGGTACGTCGTTTACCTCATTTCCTAACTGATCGGGTTTCAATTCTCGGTGGTGGATGCGCACTACTGACGATTCCCAAATATAGGACGAAACGTCCGACCAGTGCATTCTGTTGTGGTTTCTTTTAGACTCGATGAATTACTTATTTATGATATATATATATATATATATATATATATATATATATATATATATATATATATATATATATATATATTTTTGCAGTTTACATTAGAACATGCGCATATCCACTAGAAAATTGTACATTTTTGTTTCAACGCCAAAAAAGGAAAACCATTTTAGACGTCACACAGGTGGGAAATCATGAGGTTTTACAGTGGATTTGTGCATGTTCTAATGTAATACTGGAATAAATAAATAAATATTTACAGCTCTATTTTTTGTATTGAGCACTATGTTTTAAATTAATGTTTCGAACGCTGTAATCCTACTGTTCGTTCTCCTCCACTTTGATATATATATATATATATATATATATATATATATATATATATATATATATATATATATATATATAAATTTACTAGTCAGTGTATCATTTGACCAGATAAGAATAATATTAAATTGCTCAATACACGTATAAAAAAGAAAAGAAAAGAAAAAAAATTTTACAAAAAAAGGTCTATTTAAAAAAAAATTTAGATCAACCTATTTAAAAATAATAAAGCTTTAAGATACCGGAAGGAAAAACCAAGGTAGCGTGATCAACTGATCTACTTATATATATATATATATATATATATATATATATATATATATATATATATATATATATATATATATATATGTGTGTGTGTGTGTGTGTCTCAGAAGAATTCGCTAAAAAATTATCATACCTGATGTAAAAAATGACACAAACTTAATTACTGATTTTTTAATTATCAATTTCTTTTTTTAGACCGTTCGAAATTTTGGAGAAAAATCTTGTTTTCCTTGCGTTTGCGCAGTAGGACCAAAGGTTAGTATAGGAAATTTTAGCGTCTTTTTATGCTGTGAAAAACACATTCATTTGAAAATTCTTGCAAAATTCAATTACTTGACGGATTTTAAGGAAACATTTACGAATTATGCACAAATAAATAAAATTATTTTAGAAATGTTTCTACTTCAGAAAATCTGGGTGTAAAATATTTTACATGTATTATCCCCATTTTAATTTTCGGATTTTTTAAAAAATTTCAGTTATGAAGTTTAAAAGTTTAGTTTATGAAGT